AGAGTAAGGGCTGGAAGGGACCTTGAAAGATCACCTGGTAAGAAAGTACACCTAATATTGACAGGTTAACCAGAGTTTAACCAGAATTTATAGTTAACACAGACACCAACTCCAAACCATGCACAATCATGAATATCACAAAATTGGCCAAAAATGTTCAATTTGGTGTTTTTTTTAAATATATGTATGTATATATTTGTTCTTTTGAGTTGCCTGCTGGCTTTCTTAGCCTCAAGCATAGACTTGGGTCATGTCCTCAAGCTTTTATTCTTGTACAAGAAGAGCCATAAACTTTTTCTGTCCTCTCCCTCAAATTAAAACTGTGATTCTCACCTCCCACATCCTTTGAGAGATAGAAGTTCAAGAAAACCTCCACATAGCACAAGAGCGGACAACATCGAATCAGGGATGTGTCTGTGCCAGTGCTTCTTTTTTACTTTTAGTGTAACTGAGTGTTTCAGTTTTGAAAACAAACCTTGAAAGCCTTATCATTGATCAAAACTGACAAAACGGAGTTGATAAATATTATACAACACGATTAGATGGGCCTCTATCTTGAAGGGCAAAGTGCAATCAAGATAGATGCACTGGTTGTTATTTTAACTACACCGTAAAATAAGTAGAAGAAAATATTCACGCTTCTGCTAAATTTACATGTTTAAGCAAGGAAAGTCTCTCTAATGGGTTTTGTTGCCTGATGCTACAGGAAATGCTCTTTTAGGAACAACCACAGCAAAACCCCAACTGAAAACATTCATCACTGAATAAGTAGATAAACAGAATTCATAAAAATACAACGAACCCATGATCTCTCTAGTCAAATGTCTCATCCCTAATAATGACCAGAATCAATTGCTTCTAATAAAGGTGCAAAATACTCCCAAAATTATGGAATATTCTCTCCTTGGTGAAGTTCCTTCCCAGTCTCAGTTAGTGTTTGGCCCCTGATCCAACTACAAGAGTTCATAGTCCAGAGATGCATCATAGCCCATCTGTACATGTCAAATCCCTTTTGAAAACCTACTAAGAACATTGCCACAGTACCATCCTGCAGCAATGAATCCCACAGATGAACTACGATGCGCGGTGTAGGAGAAAAAAAAGTTTTCTTTGATCATTTTTAAATCCCAAGTCTTCTTTTTCTGGTGTTATGGGAAAGGAGAGCCCAACTCACCGTGTTCTGATGAGCAGTATTTTAAACACATGAATTAAAGGAGAAAAAAAATTCAATTGATGTCTTTATAAAAACAATACTATCCCTAAACCCAGGACTGTCTAACTAGCATGCTAATCAAAGGATTAGCATGCAGCCCCATGCCTAACCACCACTCTTCCCCCAGTTTCTTTGGCCCAGTGGCCAAGAGTGGCTGGAGCGCCCAAGCACATGGCGCAAAGAAGGCAGCTGGGCAGCCCACTCCGGTGAGTGGTGCGTGCAGCCAGAAGGGGGGCACAATGGAGTGGGGGGAAGCTGGGCTGCCTGTGCTGTGGTAAGGGATCTGGCGGGGAAGGGACTGGCCAAGTGGCATGTGCAGCTGGGAGAGGAGGGAGTCAGCCTGCCCAAGCCATGCAGGCAGCAAAGGGGGCACGACGGGCAGTCCAGGAGCAGGGAGCCAGGGGACACTCACCCATGCATCAACCAGGTCTGCAGACCATGTTAGCACAACACCCCCCAGCTACCTGGAAGTTAGACAACTCTGCCTACAACAAAGAAATAGGCTTAATACAAGAACTAAGTGAGCTCCTACAGCTCATGTTATGCAGGAAGTCAGTTTAGATCACGCTGGTTTCTTCTTGCCTCAAAATATATAAATGGAATTAATGAAAGAAAGAGATCCCAGCTTCCACCCGCCCGAAAAAGTAAAAGTGTTTTTTGTCTTGTGTGAGTTAAAAAGCTAACGTAATTCTTATTTGCTGTCTTACTTTCTGCTATCCCATTTGAAATCGTACTGAACCAGCTGGTGTGTGTGCTGCTTCCACTGCAACAGAAAAGGCAGATTTCCCTGTGGTTCATTAGGAGGTATGTGCTTATGGACCAAAAAGATCAGAGTTCTGTCCCTGCCGTAGCTGAGGTTCCCATAAACCAAGGTGTGCAGCATATCACCAGCCATAAACTCATAGATGGCCATGGATTTTTTGCAATTTATTTCACCCTGGTCCTTTATAGCTCTTGTCTAAGGATTACTTTATTGCCAACATGCTGGACACCTGTGATGAGGCTATGCAGTACAAAAATAGAACAGGAAAAGCATCCACATTTTAAGCAATTCCTAATAGGAAGGATAAGCATAACTATATTGATATGGGAAAAACCTAATTAGCCACAAAAGCAGCCTAAAATCCCATGCAAATAAGCCTATAAAAACTATACCTGGAGTCCTCATTTATAATAGTTAATGCAGGAAGTAGCAACATTTTCTCCAATCCAAGCAGGCTAATTTTAATTTGGATAGTTTATTCCTACTGCTCTAGAATGGCACAAACAGTTTATAACCATAGCACCTAGCTCATTAGAAAGAGACAAGCTAAAAGTAAAGACTACTGTGGAGGAAGAGAGCTCACCTCTGAAACCTACAGCCAGCATTCTCAAGGGAAAATATTATCTGGGGATTAAGATAGAAAACCAGGACATGAGAAAAACAAACCAAAATTAAATAAATGAGGGCTCCAAAAGGGTTCTCATGCCACTTTTTCCAGGAAAAGAGGAAAACACTGCTTATTGTTCTTGTGAGCTTTTTTAAGCCAGTGCCACTCTTCTCTCCACAGTTTGTGACATTACAAATCGTTCTCCTGCAGAAGTCACTAACACTGTCCAGATTACCAGAAATTTACCATTGCTGAGAGCCACTGAGGTTAAATGGGTGCTGAACACGAGTTCGCCAAAAGTATTAGACACTGCATCTTTGTTGCTGTGCAGTGTCAGCAAAAAATCATCCCTTGTGCTGTGGGTAAAGTTGATGAAACTAACAGCACAAATTTCCCCACAACTCATAAACCCAGACTGCCTTTGCAGAAAGACTTTGCATACATATTAGACCAGGGGTAGGCAACGTTTTTTGGCCAGAGTGCCAAAAAAACCACAATGTCTACCTTGGAAGGTGCCGGAGTGCTGACATGTTGCAGCCTCCGGGCTGCAGCCAGCCCACGGAGCCCTGTCTTCTTGCAGCAGGGCTTGCATCTTCCCAACCGCCTGCTAGGACCAGCCTGGGCTCCGTGGCTGGCAGCAGCTGCTTAGAGCCCAGGATAACAGTGGTGTGCCGAGCAAAATGGCCTTGAGTGCCATGCTCAGGATGTGTGCCGGGGGTTGCTGACCCCTGTATTAGACAAGACCAGACATCGAACTAGCAGCACCCTCTGCTATCATGGCCTACTGCACACTTTCAAAGTGGCTTCTGGAACGGGTACAGGTAAAAAACCATGTGTGATTGCACACTGTCCAGCTGAAGCCACACTACACATTTTAAGGATTTAATAGCAGTCGTCAGCTACCTAAAGGGTGGTTACAAAGACGATGGAGCTAGACTGTTCTCAATGGTGGCAGATGGCAGAACAAGGAGCAATGGTCTCAAGTTGCAGCAAGGGAAGTTTCCATTAGATATTAAGAAAAACTTTCTCATGAGGAGGGCAGTGAAGCACTGGAACAGGTTACCCAGAGAGGTGGTGGAATCTCCATCCTTGGAGGCTTTTAAGACCCAGCTAGACAAAGCCTTGGCTGGGATGATCTCATTGGGAATGATCCTGCTTTGAGCAGGGGGTTGGACTAGATGACCTCCTCAAGTCCTTTCCAACCCTAGTTTTCCATGATTCTATGAAAGATACATACACACCGTAAATGCAAAATTCAAACACATTGCGAGTTGAACCATGTACTGGTAAATGAAACCTTTCCCACCACAAAGTTGCACCATGGTCTGTTAATATTCTCAGCACTTAGCATTGACAAACAAACCATATAAAATCAAAGGACATGGCTTAGTATGTACAGATCTGCCATATGACTGAAGGGACAGAAGGGGGAAAAACACTAGGATCTTCTTTTCAATCTAGACACTTAAGAACTGTGCCACACCCAAAGTTTGCATACAGACATTTGCATTTCTACCCACCGGGGCAAGTGATAAGAGTTGCAAATGCTGGGGGATTTCACAGACTCAGGGGAAGAAAGGGAGCTGGAGTCTCTCTACTCATGGAAACTCTGAAGTGTCCGATGAGAGATGTGTCTAAGTAACCAAGTTTCAGCTCTAAATATCTTTTCCAGTCATTGTAGCTTATTAGGGAAGGAAGAGTCTTGCAGCTCCATTCACAAAAAGATCAGACAAGTGCATTGTACACCACCATGGGGGAGCAGGACACAGGGGAAGGCTGCTCAGCCTCTTCCAACACACCTCTGCCACTGCCATGGTTTCAGTCAGGCTCCAGATTGATTACATTGATTTAGCAAACTTAGAGAGCAAAAATGCCCCCCCCCCCCCCACCCACTACATACACACCTCCTCCAAGTTTCAGCCTGATGGTGTCTCCGGGGAAGGGTTAGCATGAGGCATTCTGCTTTGAAAATGACTCACTCCTGCAAAGCTTTCGAGCCCGGAGCTTCTATTTTGGTTTCTTTTTGTACAGAGGGAACTTCATTGGGTTGTTTTTTGTTTTGACTCACAGGGGCTCCGCTCTCAGCACATGCACTGCCCCGCAAAGAGCAAGGCGCGGGCAAAACCGAGATGCCAAGGGTCCGGCTGAGCAACCAAGCCCCCCTCCCCTTGTCTCGTAGAGGCTGGGGCACAGCTTGCTTTTGCTCTCCCGGCCCCCAGCTCCGGATCAACACCTCTTCAACCCAACAAAGCCTGTTTTCAATGGCAACAGCCTTGCGAGGATCGCCTCTTCCCACAAGACGGAGCCCCCTGCAATGGAGGTGATGGCAGAAGGCAGGGTTGGCACCCCTGAAATCGGCACGATCCCCTCCCCTCCCCTCCCCTCCCCTCTCTGCAGCCGGAGTGAGCCAAACCTACCTCAGATTGCTACTTGAAAGACCAAAAAAAAAAAAGAAGTGCATTTTCCACTCACCCTCTGGATTTTAAATTAGGGCTGCCTCGAGGATTTTTTTTGGGGGGGAGGAAAAAAACCCCAACCAACCAACCAAGAGATGGAGCAGGCTGCTGCTGCTTAGACCCGCTTGCCCATCTCCCTGCAGACACTGCTCGCGCCAGGGAGCGGACTCGCTATTTATCCACCGCGATCTGCTCCCAGTGGCCACCAGTCCGAGCTTTCCACCCCCCGGCTCCAGCCCGGTTGTGATCGGTACAATGTGCCTTTGACTGGCTCCTCCCAGGAGAGACAAAAGGGGCAGGGGGAGCCCCGTAAAGAGGGGGAGGGAGGCACGGAGGGAGGGAGGCAGACTCCTAGCTGCTCTGCCTGCTTCGCAGCCTTTCCTGAGCAGCTGCTTTCTGCCTCTGGGGGGGAGGAAGAAAAAAATCCACTCCAACAATTTCAGGAAGTTGGAGATCTTTGCCCTAAAAGAGGAGGCAGAAAAGGATGCCGGAGTTTGGATTGCATTCAGCCTCCACGGCGTGCAGCGCGGCGGGGGGGGGACTCCGTGCCTGTGTCTTTAAGAAGGGGGGAGGTTCCTTACTGAGCTGCTGCTTGGATGCTTTTCCTTTGAAAAACCAAAATGACATCAAAAAAGAGCTGCTCCCCGCCGAGGGAAAAGCTCGGGCTCAAGACAGAGCCCAAGCGCCCTGCAAACCTAAGTGAAGAGTATGTAGAACTTGCTGTGGAAAAGAGATGGCTGGCCTACGGATCAAGGGACTGGCTAAGAAAGGGACTGATGGCCTGGCACATGGCATTTCGCAGGTCGCCCCCCAAAGTGGGTCATAAGAATATATGAAAGGGTCACAAACAGACTTTAGAAATGGATTCTCCTTTCAAGGAGAAAAAACGTGGAAAACAGCAGATTTCCCCTTGCAGGCTGGCAGAGCTCCACGCCCACCCCTGGGGTGCCCCACACTTGCCTGGGGGCAAGGGGCAGCAGGTCGGGAGTGAGGGGCACTGGGTCAGGACTGGCCGTTGATGTTTACAAATGGGTCCTGGTACAAAAAAGGTTGAGAACCACTGGCCTAACGCACCTTGCAAAAAAGAGTTTGACGAAAAAGGTTTGGAACTTTACAGCTCACTTGAAGGGAGGATGCCATGAAACTAGACCTATTTTTCTTCTTTAAAAGCTAGACCTATTTTTCTGATTGCTGCAGGTTCATCTGCAGTATTTTTAAATTCAGCTGTAGTAATCTTAAACTGGGATCAGGCAGGAAGCTGCTGAAATGACACTCGCCTTTGCAACAAGGGTCTGAAAGCAATGCAGAAAAGCCACAATCAGACCCGATTCTGCAGACGCTTACGTGCCTGGATGACTATGCACTGAACTGCTCGGGCTGGGCTGTGCAGCTACTTGTGTGATTCAAGTTATTCAGACACCCAAGTATTTTCAGAACTGACCCCAAAGTTTGTAAATACAGAGCATCTTGGTTTGTTTTTGTTTCATATATATTATGAGACATAGCTAAAATTATCATGTGCTTCAAATAGAGAGTTCGGCCTAGGGAAGACCCCGGATGCTGGGACTCGGAAACTGAGTTGGCCCAGATATTGCAATCTGATGAACCAAAAACCCAAATCCCTGTCAGAGTACCTGGATGTCAGAAGCAAGTCCCATGAGACACAAACCCGTTCCATCACAGATATTAAGAAGTCAGGTATTCATTTCAGTGGATCAGGACGAAGCTTCTAATATCTCCATTTAGCTAGTAAATAGAAATATTCATTTGCTTAACTTACCTCATTTACTTAAGACGTATAATTAAGGACCCTCTTACATGAGTATTCAGAATTTTATTTCATTCTCCTTCTGACTTTGCAATGAAAGGTGTTCAATAAATGTTACAGAATACTATAACCCACATTTCTGTATCTAACAGACAGCTATTACAGCGTATAGCTGAAATCATATAGCTGGTCCCCGCTCCTCCCCAAAGTTTCTTTACTGTTATTTCCTACTACATACCTGATGATGATGATGATGATGATGATGTAGCACTACAGGCCCTAGGCTGCCGCCTCTATCTTCATCCATTCCTATCTGCTACACACATAGGATTTTATAATATTATAAAATCCTAAGTGGCCACAGCCCATGCTCAGAATTTTATTATGAGCTATATGAATGTATAGAGACATCTTTTGCATCTCAACAGGGTTACAGTTTATGATAACATTTGACACACAAAAGGTGAAGAATACAATCAAATATATAACATTTTATATCCTTCTATATTTGTTAATTATTGCAAGGAGATATAGTGTCACCTAGATTTCATCTGCCCTTCAAACCAACTGCTCTTCATGGCAGAACTGGGTGTGAACAAATCTGGATTTGAAGGAGAAGCGAGTATTGATCTAACATACCAGGTCAGGAAGAGCATCTTGTGCAAGGAGTCGTCCAGCGAAAGATGCAGAAAAGTTTGTGTGAAGAAGTAGCAAACAGTTGGACAAAGCTGGCACAGGGCCAGATGAAATCTTAGCCACGTCTAGGGTCCTAGTAGTTTCTGGAGGGTAGTTTCTGGAATTGTGAATATTTCAGAACTGCAGTTTTTATTTTAAAAAGTTAAAAAAAAACAATATTTTAGTATGAAAAAAAACCTTCAAAATATAACTCGAATGTAGGTTCAGTGATAAATACTAGTCCCTTGAAAACCTGAAACAATAGCTCTGTCGGGGGTAGACTGCCTCATAACTGTCAAGTGCTAACTCCAAGAACAAATGTAAAGGAGGGTCCAAGCCATACTGAATCAGTGGCCTAAATATCAATGTTGGTAAGTTAAATACTTGGGGAGGGGGCCTTGCCTGTTTGGGAGCAGCTAAAGAGGGTCCCTTTTATCACTTCTAAGGAAAAATAAGTACCCTCTTGCTTCTTATACTGGGAGATGCAGTGGCATCCCTTGTGACTGGCAGTCCAAGTCAGCATGAGATCACAGTGCAAGGGACTGGGCCCAAGTGGCTATTGTCACTGTGGGCTGGAGAGCTATAATCGCCTTAATCCAATATAAAAGGCTTGGAAATGGAAGACAAGAAATTTAAATTAGAGTGAAATAGGAGCCAGTAGCATAATGATGGGTGGGAGAGGGGAGCAGGAGCCCCAGGCACTGCCTAAGGGGAGCACTCACCCCACTCCACCCCCCACCTCATCTTTCCTGCAGTGGCTCTGGCTCCATCTGCAGCTCAGGCAAAGAAAGGGCTAATAGGTCACTGCTGGTAGGGGAGATGTAACCAAAACAAACAAACAGAAAAAAGGGTGTTTTTTGGCCAAACAGGAAGATGCGTGGGTCAGATCAGTTAGCAACAGGATGATCACCTGTCCCTAATTGGGTGGAATGGTCTCAAAACATGAATATGAAGTCCCAGTCCCAGGCTGAATGACTCTAGGACAGTGTTTGTCCCAGATTTCCCTGTATACAGTCAACTATCATCCCAGTATCATGTGCAGGGATCCGGGCTTTCCATTCTCTGCAAGAAAACCATGGGAAACCCTGGGTTTTCCCTTGCAGGCCGGCAGAGTTCCAGCCTGCAAGGGGCTGCTTGGGACTGGGGGGAGTAGGATACCACATGCTTGTGTGCACGTGCACACATGCATGTGGCTGAAAATACAGCCCTAGGCAGCGGTGGAAAGCAGCTCCCCCAGCTGCCTGCAGGTAAGTCAATGGGGGGGGGGGGATGATGCAGTGGGGTGGGGGGCAGATTAAGGCCCCCACGGTGAGGGAGGGAGTGGGGCAGGATTGGTGGCTGGTTCTGGGATTGCTGTCCAGCCAAGGCAGTGCATGGGGCCCAGGGCCAGGGTGGAAATGCACAGCCGCGGGGCCCAGATGGGGAGCAGGACAGAGTCACAGGCAGCTCATCCAGGGAGTAGCAAGGGGGGGGGGGGCAATGTGTCCCACTTTTGCATCGTAAAAAGTTGGTCACCCTAGTTAGCAAGGATCATCTCAGCAGCTTCATTTTCCCTTTGGGGTTTGGTTACAGAGAAAGGATACAGCTCCTAATGAAAATTCCTTATTGTGCACATAAAAACAATCATCTGGGCCAGGTACAGACATTATACTTTTACCAGTATAAGCGATCTGAAACCAGTCTATACCCAAAACACAAGTTTGGCACAGACAGACTGGTTTAAAAATGGTGAAACCTGGCCTAAGATTTGCGTCTCCCGCCCCACCAAAAGGCAAATGTACGTTCTGCTCGCTATTGATCTAAACTACGCTGCTTACAGAAAACCACAAAACTTTGATCAATTCTGCCTTGGTCTTTTTGCATGTCTGTTCCTAGTCTTAAATATGATTACTCTTAGCACATGGTCAAACTGCATGATACAAAACAGACTACAGTTCACCCTTTTGGACAGAGAAGTTTAATTCTCCTTGGGTCCCATTGAAACCATTATTAAACGATTTGAAGACTGTCAAATCAATAGTGGCAAAGATGGTGTTACAGACCTTCCCATAGCGAACAACCACACCTGAACTGGCTGCAACAGAAAGCTTGTTTTCATATTTCTTGACTTTATGCCACACGCCTTCCCCACAAATGCAACTGCTTTAGTAATTCAGCCCTCACACACACAGATGTCCCACTCTCATTCAGGCAGTTGTTCTAAAGACAGCAAAACCACAAGTGTTGTGACTAACAAACATGACCTTTAATTGCTTTGTTTTATAATACATTTTCAGTTAGGTCTCAGAAAAATCCTTGTGGATGTCAATCTTCATTTCTGATGTTTCATCCAACAGGTCGTCTGAATCAGAGGCATCCCAGAAATCACCTCTATAGACAGTGCCACAATGGAGTCCAAGAATTCAGGCAATGAATAAGAGGTCGCAATTTCCAAGTATTGTTCCTAGTCCTGCCACTGATTTTCTGCATGAAGTTATGCAAATCACTTAACATTTCAGTTTCCCCCTACTCCTACATACGTGTAATAAGACTGACTTGTACCAAAGGAGTGTTAGGAGGTGTCTTGCAAAGGGGGAGGAAAGGGGGTTGTGTATCTTCTTGTGGGATATTTTCTATCACAGCAACACTGGTGTGCAAGGCAAGGGAGCCATCATTAATGGCTGGGTATGTTTTTGCAGGCAAGGAGCATTGTTTTGTTGGCTTTGCAAGTAAAAATTCAGGCACACAATGAGATTTAGGAAACAAAATATAATTTCACGTGGCAAAATGCAATTTTATTACGTCTGGTGAAAAATAACCCAA